GATTTTTGAGGTTTAAAGTTCAATTCTGGGGTGAATTTGTGCAATTTTGGGCAATTTTTGGGGGTTTTTGTTGATTTTTGAGCTTTTAGGTTCAGTTTTGGGGTGAATTTGGGAGATTTTGGGGTTTAAACTTGGTTTTAACAAATCCTCACCTGGTCTGGGATCACCTGAGAGGATTTGGGTTAAAAATCCCCAATTTTGGGTCAAATTTGGGCAATTTTGGTCTTTTTTGTTGATTTTTGAGCTTTTAGGTTCAGTTTTGGGGTGAATTTGGGAGATTTTGGGGTTTAAACTCGGTTTTAACAAATCCTCACCTGGTCTGGAATCACCTGAGAGGATTTGGGTTATAAATCCCCAATTTTGGGTCAAATTTAGGCAATTTTGGGGATTTTTGGTCTTTTTTGGCTATTTTTGAGCTTTTAGGTTTAGTTTTGGGGTGAATTTTGGAGATTTTGGTGTTTAAACTCGGTTTTAACAAATCCTCACCTGGTCTGGGATCACCTGAGAGGATTTGGGTTAAAAATCCCCAATTTTGGGTCAAATTTGGGCAATTTTGGTCTTTTTTGTTGATTTTTGAGCTTTTAGGTTCAGTTTTGGGGTGAATTTGGGAGATTTTGGGGTTTAAACTCGGTTTTAACAAATCCTCACCTGGTCTGGAATCACCTGAGAGGATTTGGGTTATAAATCCCCAATTTTGGGTCAAATTTAGGCAATTTTGGGGATTTTTGGTCTTTTTTGGCTATTTTTGAGCTTTTAGGTTTAGTTTTGGGGTGAATTTTGGAGATTTTGGTGTTTAAACTCGGTTTTAACAAATCCTCACCTGCTCTGGGATCACCTGAGAAGATTTGAGGTAAAATTCCTGAATTTTGGGGTTTTTTTTGTTGAAATTTGGGCATTTCTGGGGTCTGGGCTCGGATTTGGGCTGAAATTGGGGATTTTTGGGAATTTGGGGCCGGATTTTGGGATTTTGGGATTCTGGGGCTGAATTTTGGGATTTTGGGATTTTCAGGCTGAATTTGGGGGATTTGGGACCAAATTTTTGGGGTGAATTTGGGAGGT